TGCCATATTTTAGGAGGGTGGAGTAGATAGTAGTTAAAAGAGACAGGGAAAAGAAGTGATTACAGACAAAAACAGAGTGGTCAGAATTTCCCTGACCCATGTTTTGATCAATTTGGGCTTCTCTAACAGAGATAGCAGAGTCCAGGTGGTTTAACCAACAAAAATCTATGTCTCCAAGGTCTGGAGACCTCAGTCCAAGATCTAGGCTCAGGCCATCAGTGTGTCCTGGGAGCTGATGTCCTGGTGCATAGACTTGAAGTCTGAGTTTGTGTTTCCTCCCATGGCACTGTGTGAATGAGTTCTCTGGGGTCTTTTTATATAGACTCTAAAGCCACTCACAGAGGGCTCGATCCAGATGACCCAACCTCATTCCAGATGCCCCACCTCCAAATACCTTTGTATGGAAGCTAGGATTTCAAAATATAAATTTTGGGTCAAGAAAGTGGGGTGCAGTGAACATATAAACTTTCAGTTTTTAATGAAGCTCCTCTCCGATCACAATAGTTACCATCTCTCATCCCTAAAAGTGAAGAGGTCATGCTGGGATAAGAAGAGGAGAAAATAGAGCGTCTTTTCGAATTTTTGAAGGCATCTGTAAAAACCATGAGTCATCACTGACATTTCTACTTCACCATATCAAGCTCTTCGCCACACCCAGTTGATTGCCCCAGAGTCCCTACATATGAAAATGTACATTTATCAGATCCATCAAACAGTGGCTGTTTCACTTGCAAAAAGTTCATTGTGAATGGCTGCTTGTAGGATTGTCTTCTGCTCAGGACATTAAAGTCTGTGCTATCTAAGCAACCTCAACACAGAGGCGTTTTTTAAAATTTCATGTGAATTCCTAGAGAACCTGTGTATGTGTGTGTGTGTATAATTTTAAAGAGAAGCTATTTTTGTTTGTTGGAAACACAGAGTGTGAAATAAACAATTCTGCAACTTTAAGATGCTGCACTAAAAAATATAAGGTGCATGCTCAAAACCTATATACTAGCTATTAATTCAATTTAAAAAAACAAGAAAACATTCTCAAAATGGCAACTAGATAAGAAATCTTTCAATTTTTAATGTTTGTTTTATTGAAGTATTTTTTTTCAACAATTGTTGATGAGGATGTAGAGAATAAGGAACCCTGTACACTGTTGGTGGGAATGTAAACTGGTGCAGCCACTATGGGAAACAGTATGAAGAATCTTCAGAATATTAAGAATAGGGCCCTCCCTGGTGGCACAGAGGGGTTACAGAACAGTACTGTGAAGCTCTTTGCAGCCACTAACGATCCCTGGCCAGGGAGGTGACCCCCATGGCACAGCAGACCTCTCCTGTCTTGCCCGCCACTCCCCTAAGCAGTGTATTTCAGTTAATCTGCTTGTTCTGCTCCCCACTCTGTCTTTGGTGAATCCCCTTACCACTGAACCCCAGATCTTGGATGAATAAATAAAACAGATCTTTAAATAAAACAAACAACTAATTTCATTTAACTTTTTATTTTTGATTTGTGGAAACTGGATACTTGAAGTATAGGTGAAGTCTCTATGACTTTACCAATTTTTGTAAGAGCCAAATAACACTAACTGCTATCTGCCAAATTGTGTGCTACGCGGCAGTTAAATGTAAATATTTACAGGCCTTTTTCAGAGTGAGGGAAGAATTTATCCTGTAGTTAGAAATTGGGAATAAAACAAAACAAAAATCTAATAATTGTGAGAGATTCTTAATTACAACTGTCTGATTATAACTCTTTAACTGTTAATTACTTCAATTTGTTATTCTAATTGATTGAATAGTAATATTGAATATAATCAATGTCAGGGTTTTTAAAGAATGATTCCTTTTCCTTCACAGTGTGCTTACTGATTTTGAAAATATTGTTCAGGGATCTTAGGATACAGATAGCATTTTGGACTCTGCAGCAAGCAAAACAGAGTGAAAGGACTTTAAGCTGTGGCATAGACTAGTCAGAGTTTCATTTTAGAAAATTACCGTCATAACTGTGGAGAATGAAATAAGTTCTTAATGCTTTCTTAGAACAATGCGTATAGAACTTAAATAGACCAAACATTAACTTTTCCTTATTGCCTAGAAAAGAACTTTATAAAAAATCCCAATATGCTCACTTTCATAATTGGAATTTCCAAATGATTCACTTTTGGATAATTTCTATTTTTATAGCATTTCAATACTTTAGGCTTAACAATAAAACACTCTCTAGGCCCTCCCTGGTGGTGCAACCGGTTAAAGCACAGTCCTGGGAAGCTGGCCTGGGCTGCTTCTATGCTAGTTTGATCCTTACCCGGGAGGAGACCCACATGGCGCTGCAGACCTCTCCTGGCCTGCCTGCTGCTCCCCTCAGCAGTGTACTTCATCCCTCTGCCTGTTCTGCTTGCTGGCCCTGGTGAATCCGACCTGTACCACAGTATTATATGCATACATACATACATACATACATACATATATATATATATATATTTTTTTTTAAATAATAAAACACTCTCTCTCCTGGGTGTTACCAGGTGTGGTGGTGGTATGATCACAGAACACTTGCAACTCTTGAGAAACTCTCTGGCTTCCTCTTCTCTCTCAATCTTCTGCATCTGCGGCTCAAGCCAAATGCTTAGACTTCCTTAGTTTCTTTCTTGCTCTTTCCCCCTTCATGTCTACCCTTAAACTGAATAGTCCTGCACATTAAATAATACCCCAGTTCCCTCCATTTCTTTCCCTCTCAGGGATGCTGCAAGCTTCTTTGGAGACCCCGACTCTCTGAGCATGGCAGCAGCCTCTGAATTGGCCTCTGTTTCCTTTCTCATACATTTCCCCCTCCTTACTCTCCTGCTTCAAACATTTCACTAGCTTTTGGCACTTACCCTCTCTTGACACTCTGCTTCTACTCCGGCTGTTATTTGCCCTCACAGTATCCTGTACACACTTACTTCTTCCAAGAACCTCTTACAGTTTGATGCCTGGCAAGTACTCCCTGAACTTAATAGCATAATGATTTCATAATAGGTTCTGCCATTTATTGAATATTTTCTATAACCCAGACAGTGTGCTGAGTGCTCTCCAGGCATTATCTTATAATTAAATTAGGAGCAACAATCTTGTGAAGTTGACATTATTATTCCCATATTTTAGGAGAGGAAACTGGGCCACAGAGAGTGAAGCACCTTGTCCCGGTTCATACTGTTAGTTTGGCAGAGCCTGGTTCGAAGTCTATCTGATTTGAAAGCAGGCTCTTTGCTTGTGGAATTTCAAAAGTAGTTGGTGAACATTAAATTTTAATGCTCTCACAACAATTTCCGTAGCAAGCTCTAGAAAAAAAAAATCCACTGATCATTTAACTCTTATGCAGATGACAGACGTTTCTCAGTAATTAGTGTCTGTTGATAATAAAAACAATAGTGTAAAAGTTGGGAATAAGCTCTACAGTAAAAGGTGCTTAATCTCAGCACCTAGTCATTCAGATAGCTAGTCATTGCAGATAGCTCTCAATATTTTATGTGCCAGATAATATTCTTGGTGCTGGAGATACACCAGTGTGCAACTCTGTAGCATGGATTTAACATTTTGGTTTTATAAATAGTGTTTGTTCTGGAAGTTTATGACGGCATAGTTCTTCTATGCATTCAGCATAAGTTGATCCATCTTGAACCCCATCCCAAGGGGACCTTTTGAGTCAGCCTGTAACATCTCTCCCAAGAATGCTCTCCTAGCAAGTTTAGTTTACTGAAAATGTAGTTTGCTTCTTCCTACTTTACTTTCCTTCCAATTAAAGTTGAAGATTAAACTTAATTGTATTAGATGTAATAAACTCAGGGAACTTATATTCTAATAAGGGTAGCCCAGTAAACATAACAGTTAAATGAATTACACTATATTAAAGATAGTACTGTGTGGTGGGAGGGCAGTAAGATGCTGATGGTGAAAATGCGGAGAGTCTGTTGCAGTGGAGGTTGCTGAGTTGAGTCTCACTGACATGGACAGAGATTTGAAGGAGGTAAAGGAATTAGAAAGCCGAACATATGAGGGAAGGGTATGGATGCATATTCATTTAAAAGCAAAGTGCTGTTGTGGACAGAGGGGACCACGCACAGGAGAGATAAAGTCAGAGAGTTCCAAGTATTTTGTCAGTGACCATAAAATGAATTTGTATACATTACATAGAGCACCTAGCTCAGGGTCACAGAGCCCCTGATTTCCTTTTCCAGCCACATCTCTTGCTGCTTCCCATTGTACATCCTGCCCTGCATTTATAGCTAAAGACTCTTTGAAGATGCCCCAAATATTGATGCTGTTTTAAGTCTTTCTACTTTTGTACAAATCTAAAATGCCCTTCTCTGCTCCCTTGTCATTATGATAAGCCCAAGACCCACCTTAGGCTTTCCTTTGGAAGGACTTCCTTGACTCCCTCTTGGGACCACCAGGCACAGTGTTTTGAATATGTGTTGGGTACACAGTAACACACAGCTAATGATAACTAACACTAATGTCAGCACATGGTAGGTGTCTGGTGATAGGTAAGTCCTTATAAGTTTATAATTTATGCCTCACAGCAGCTCTGTAGGAAATGTTCAGTTATTATCCCAGTGTACAGGTGAACAAATAAACTTACCTACTATCACCCGTTCACTAAGTGGTGGAAGCAGGAATTGAGCACAAGGTTTCTGACTCCAGAGCCCATGCCCTGTTAATCATTACATTATACCATTTATTGAGTACTTAGTGTATACATATTGGAGTGCATGTGTCTCCCATGCCTTTTGTGATCCCTTTGAGAAAGGGAACCTTGCCAAATTTACCCTTTTGGGGGGAGATTTGTGCCTGGTTTAACAGTGAAGAGAATGGTTGGATGGTGAGAAGGAGAAAGTGCTCTCTCGTGTAATTTGTAAAAGATGGAAAATAGCCTTCAAAATATTAGTGAGAGTGCGTTACTAATGCTGAACTGAATTTGGTTTTGGATTTTATTGTAACCATGCGGTTGTGCTTCTGCTTCTCCCCAGACCAGCATTAAAGAAGGGCAACTATTGAAGCAAACCAATTCTTTCCAGAGGTGGAAAAAACGATACTTCAAGCTTCGAGGTCGTACACTTTATTATGCAAAGGACTCAAAGGTAATTCAATGGAATATCAGCTGTAAGCAGCTTGTGTTTGTAATTAGATTAAAATTTTTGGTTCTATAAGCTGTTTTTGTTTGGGGGACTTAACTATAGAATTGCTGCTCTCTCTGTGAATTTAGTATAAATATGATCTATTTTAGTCCAAATCCCAAAGGAAGCTATTTGAGTCAATTTCCCTAAGCATAATCTTATAGGAAAGTTGTAGTGTAATTTGCTCTCTTTCTTCTTTTCTTCCAATTAAAATGAAACATTAAATGTAGCCTTGTTTGGTAGAATAAACTCAAATGTTGGATTTTTTCTTCTTTCCTTTTACTTTTGGTCTGGTAAGTCTTTCCCTGACCATGATAGACAGAATTTCTGTAGTTGCTAAGAATTCATGCTCTGGTTTCAGATATTTTACACTTTCGGTGGAGTGTCTGTGCCCGCATTTGTTGTTGAAATCGACTTAAAGTGAGCAAATGTATAGAAACAGTGTGTGACACAGAACAATCACTCAATCATGCTAGTGGTTAAGAATAAAACATAAAATGAAATCAAAGCTTATAGTATTCTTTATATGATTGTTGAATAAAATAAGAATACTGTACTTTGGGAAGAAGTAAATTAGTGATTGAGAACCACAATGTAAGAAGGATACTATAGTATTCCTTCAAAAGTAAACATTAAAATTTTTGGTACCACCCAAATGAAATTGTTATTTTGCTTATTTAAAAAATATATGGTCTGGAAATAGTAAAGTTACACACATGAAGTAAAATAAACCAACAAATCTAATTCTTCATTTATTGACTATAGAAGTAATAACCACATAAAATAATCTTGTTTTGAAAGTCATAATGTTTAAAGCTGTCCCTGATCTGGCTCCATCCTGACTTTTCACATTTATTTCTAGGCAACACTGATCCCTTGATAGCCTTCAGCCTTGACTTACCTTCCCTCAATTTCCAGCTGATCAAATTATATTGGCTTTTGTGTGTGTGTATGTATTTTCCTTTTTATTTAAAGATTTCCCTCAAAATGGTATTGATTCCAACATTCACAAGAGAACATGTTTTTCTGCTTGAGAAATCTGTGCTTTTTCATAGCATTTCCTGACCTCTTTCACTTTTAAGCTCTTACATTAAAATTGCGTCTGTTCTATCTACTGTGCCAGAATATAAATTCTTTCTCGTCGGGGAACAATTCTTCTAGTCACAATGGTTGGTTGAAGTAGACTGACTTCACCCATTGGAGATCATAGAGGAGAGATAAAAGCTGTCCTAGAAGGGGCCCTTTTTTGCAATTCTTAAAGTGCATTGTTTTATCTCCCTGACTGCAAGGATATTGCATGAGTATGAAAAAGGACCAATTGACTTTGGAAGGTTACTTTTATTTTCTAGATTTTTCCTGATCTATAAATTGCACACTTTTAAAGATTCCATGTATATGGAGTTTTAATTGCTGAAACTATTTTTAATCATGACCACTTTGTACGAATGTAAAAGAAACAGCATCTGGTTTCTGTTGAGCAGAAATTTCAATAACTGTCAACAGTATAGGACTAGTCATTTCTTCACTGAGCAAATGTGGGAATGATGTCGTTGCCTCTGTCTTAGTGGCAATGTTTTTTCAGCTTCAGCAGAATGGGAGGATGTGTGTGTAAGTGTGGCTGGTCCTATACTTAGTAACTTCCCCAGAAGTTGTGCTTGCAGAGCCCATCAGGCATTTTGCATTCAAACAACAGACCAGGGCATTGGGATTTATGTGTTAGTTGTACTTTATGGTTTTGCTTACAAAAGTATCACTCCTTTATATTTTTCTTCATGTTTTATTCTTAATTCCTGACATGACATGCTCATAAAATAATCTCGAGGAGCACTGAGTTAGGTTTTTATTTAATGTCTTTGTGATTTTTCATGTTAACAGTCTCTGATATTCGATGAAGTGGACCTCTCAGATGCCAGCGTAGCTGAAGCAAGCACAAAAAATGCTAACAACAGCTTCACGGTATGATTACAGTCTGCTAAGTCTTTACTCAGAAGCCATCGAATACCTTTATCAATTACTGACATACATGTCAACTAGTGTTCTTACCAACACGATAAACTTTAAATGCATTGTATGTAGTCATATCAAACTCCATTCTTAATTGTTTTGGTAAGCAAACCAGTGTATTGAGATGTGTTATTAAATATTTGCATATATTTTTTGTTTTATAACTTTAAATTTTGTGCTTCAGAATTTTCACTACCGCCTGAGGGTAGATATCACATAGTGTTAAAAAATTAACAAAGATGTAAGAAAAGTACTGCATTCAAACATTTTTTTAAATAATAAAAAGGGAAAAAAACTTTTCACTTCCTCACCTTTAATACTTCAACTAGCTCCATTGTCCTTGAATATTCAAAAGGTTTGTTTTTTACTTTCTATCTGCAAACTATATCCTCTTTTTCTTCTATTTTGACATTAGTTGATATAGTTCAAGACTTTATTTTTTCTTACTTAGGTAATTCATTTGATAACTATTAAATGCTTTCTGTACAGGTAACTCTTACATTGCAGAGCACACTATTTGAAGACCTCATAGGCACATCATAGTAGGACAGCGTGTATCTCTGATCCACCTGCAAGTGATGCACGGCCGTGTCTCCAATTCTACTGTTACTAGTAGTTGTTTGTCCAGATACACCCACTCATGGTTGAAATTCAGCCATTTCTGCAAAGCTTATCTCAGATTTCCCATTCTTCTATAGCTTTCATTCAAAAAAGTATGAATTGAGAACCTTCTGGATGCCAGGCACTCATGATAAGTACAGGAGATTCCAATGTGAATAAAAATGTATTTGTCACTTCCTTCAGTGAGGTTAGCTTAGCGTTTTTGTTGTAACTCCATACTCCTGTGCTCCTCTGAGATGCCTTGTTGTTGCCTCCACACTACCAGTCCCCACTCTGGGAAGCTACCACTGCTGACAGTTGTGTGGCCCTCCCCCAGGGCAGGCAGCATGGACACAGGAGGGTCTGAGGAAGGTTGCAAACAGCTTTTGAAGGTTTGAAGCAAGCAAACAAAGATTTCATCTTACTGGTTTATGGCCATGTGAGATAATTCATGGTGTAGATATTCCTGCCCTTCCACCTCCCCAGGGAGAACGTAGTTTGAGGAAAGCCAAGAATAGAATCCTGGGAAAATGTTAAATTTTAAGGTTTGACCAATAAAGACTGAGTGAGAGAGCAATCTGAAGTGTATAAGGAGCATCGGGAGGCAGTGATATAAAAAACTAATGGAGGAAAGTTTCAGGACGGAAGTTGTTAAACATCAAATACTGTAGAAAGGTCAAGTCAAAGAAGAAATGAAAAGCGTTTGCTGAATTTGCTAACTGGGGAGGTCAGTTGGTTGGTTAAGCCGATGTGAATAGTTTAAGTGGAGGAGTGCCATAAATTAGTCTGCACTGTGGGCCAAAGTGGAAAGGCAGTGGGGAGCAGGAGACATTACTTTGTCTAAAAGCTTGGCTGTTAAGAAGGAACAGGTAGAACTAGAAGAATGTTCTGGCTTTACTTTTGGTTTTTGTGTGATTCTTTTGTTTTGTTTTAAAAAATGGGTTTTGAGTATATATCAGTAAATAATTTTGGAATTCAAAGTTGAAGCCTCCAGAGAGAGAATAATTGACAGAACATGATTACTGAAGGGCTGAAGGGCGAAGGAACAGGAGCTAGGGTGAAGAATTAGTACTGAGCAGGAGACAGAAAGCTTCTGCAAGTAGGTGTGGGAAGGAAGTTTGTATGTAAATGCAAATACTACTTTCTTAATGAAATTGAAGCCAAGGTCATCTCCTAGGTATAAGAGTTTAGGAAGAATTGAAATAGTTTCCAAGAAAATGAGAATTGAAACTGAAAAGGGGTCTGTAGAAAATACTAGGTAGTAGTAAATGGTTGTCTACCCAAGACTAGAGACCAAGTTTAGTATGATCTTGATTCCTAGCTGTCCAACATTCTCTTTGAGATCAGGGTAGTGATCGATTGATTCAGGGTTGATAGTTATAGGACATTGGACAGTAAGATAAAGGGATTATGTGCTATTTGGGGAATCAGTCACTCATCCTCTTCTCCCTCTGAGTTCCCAGTTTTAGAGAATGAAACACAAAGCAACAAAGGACAGCTCTATTAATCATAGATTGGATGATCGATATATACAAAAGTTATGAGTGGAGGCCTAAGGCTAAAATACTACTTATTTTCCCTTCTTCAGTGAAGGTGATGGGGGACAAACCTCCCTTGTCCTGCCAATCAGATTAACCATCTGCCTCTCCTAGGCTGTGAACAACAGTTCTCGCCCCTCTGGAGATCCATACAGGGGGGAATGAAGGCTTTCCTTTAGTAAGATCTGTGGTTTGCTGGAAAAGAGAGTTCTAAAATTAAAATTTGAAGGATGGTACAATTTCAGGTGAAGACAAGGTCTAGTGTGTTGTGACAAAGGGAAAACTTTCAATTTGGGAACAGTTCGTCAAACTCTTTAAGAACTCTTCTTGGACCTCCAGCTGTTGAATTTGTTAACTGGGAGGTCAGCTGATGACATTGAAATAAAATGTGAACAATCTCCTGTTGTACCTTTTTTTTTTTTTTAAAGATTTTTTTATTTTTTTATTTTTTAAGTTATGTCTCTCCTGTTGTACCTTTTTTTTTTTTTAAAGTTTTATTTATGCATACAAGAACTGGGGTATAGGCCATAGGTGCAGGGGGGAGAGGATTCACCAGAGACAAGAGTGGGGAACAGAACAGGCAGATCCACCAAAATACACTGATGAGGGGAGTAGTAGGTGGGTCAGGAGAGGTCTGCCACACCATGTGGCTACCAATAGTTTTATAGTGCTGAACCCTTTGTGCCACTAGGGAGGCCCCTATTCCTTTCTTATAGAACTCACTTACTCTGTCTCATGCAGTTAGGTACTTATATTGTTGTAACCTTCTAGAGCACAGGGACTCTCTCATGTCTTTTTACCTCATAGTAGTTTGTTACTTAAGTATTTCAATTAATAAGGTGAAAATTTATTTAAGCCATGAGAAGACTTTTTGTTGAAATGTTTACAATCAATAAATGTTGTTGAACTTTTATTGGACAGAAATGTGGGGACTTAGGCAGATTGTTTGGGATTAAAACAAATCGATTTCGTATACTTTCCAGAGGATGAAATGGAACAAGAGCTATGTTTTCAACCAATAATTGACAACACCCCATCTTTAAATATTTAAATATTCTGCTCTCCTGAGTTACAGTGAGTGTTACTGATGCTTTTATTTTGGCTAGTTCATGTCAGAGGTTGATGGTGTATTTTGGTGGTGTGATTGCTGGGAAACACAGGAATGGCCAAATTCTGCTTGGCTACAGCTACTCTACTTTTCTTTTTGAAGTCTCTAAAGATGATATATTGATGAGGGGCAATAGTAAATGGAAAATCTATAATTAGTAAGTGGGAAAGCTGTGCTTCATCAGAAAACTCAATGCTAAACCTCTAGTAAAGTTTTAGAGTAAGTATTCTAGAGAGGAGGGCAGAAACTGACTTATCCTGAAGTCTCTTAAACTGAGACTCATTTCTGCTGCTTTCTGTAGTCAAGAGCAGGTCACTCATACTGGCAGAGCTCAGGAAGAATCGTTGGCATTGCTCGAGTGCTGTCAGAAGGTCACCAGACACGGTCTAAACCTACCTAGGCCAAGGTGACTTTCCCCCTTGCTGGGTCCTGTGACCCATCACCAGAGTGTTAGTTTTCTTTCTTAAATTTTTTTTGGGCTGGGATTTCTGTTATCTATAGTTTTCTTTTGCTTTTGCAGCATTATAGTTTTTTTTGCTTTGCAACAAATTGCAAGAATCTTAATGGCTTAAAACATCACCCATTTATTGGCCACAGTTTCTCTAGGTAACACAAGCTGGATTACTCTACTCCAGGCCTTAACAATGATGAAATAAATAGGTATGGTCAATTATATATATAGATGTATGTTTGTGTGTATGTAGATATATCCACCTGCCTCTATAGTATGTACTTTTTAGTCAGCTGGAACCAGGCTGGATTTTTACCAAGGATATTATAAGTGTTTTCCATAGTAAGCAAAAATGACAGTGCAAAACCTACTAACTTCAAAACAATTTCTGTACCGTTTGGTGTCAGAGATGTGATCAATGGGAAAAGCCTTATTGACAATTTATGTGAGTCTAAGTTAAAGCTTATTATTAATTTATTTTTAGCTTAAGATCTGTCATGGCATTTTCTGTAGGCATTTTTTAATTGACTATTTTTCAATTTTATTTATACCTATATGGCTTCCAAGTTTTTTCACTTGAACATGTTTGCCCATCTTCTGTGCTATGTGTGAGCACTTTCTTAAGTTGGAGAGAATTGCTTTCCCTTTAGTCACACTGGGGCCCCTTGGGAAGGGGATCCCAGACCTCTTGGAGTTTAATCAGGGCTCTTTCCTTTCACACAACATTGCTTCCATCTGGGAGTCTCAGCCTCTGTCCCTCTGTTTGCTTGCTTCCTAGATCTGCTGCCTTCTCCGTCTCTTTCTCACTAATTATTACATACATAGATGGATCTCTTGGATTTGTCCAACTGTAGAACTTAACTGTGAAGTCATGTGGGACCTGATCAGCCGTATCTACCTATGTGACCTTGAACTAATTAGTCAACCTTGTAATCTCACCTGTATGTATAACCCTAGCCCTGTGTCCTCACATGAATTAAATAAAACACTAATACCTGTTAGTGTTATAATACCTGTTAGTAATAACTGTGAAAATACACTAAAATACTTAGCACAGTGATGAGCAATTACAGTTTCATAACGGTGGTTTAGGTGAACTTGTTCACATTTCTTGCATGAGTAAAAGTATGCTCCCAATTTGTAAATGTTTGGATATTTTGAAGAATATGAATGAATTTTGTCTTGAGAAAACAGTCCATTCCGCCTATCTTTCAGTGGTGTTGCGAAGATTTGTTTACAGTTTTATGTTTTATTA